TTTTAATTGTTATTTTACAGCTGTTTTTACCATGTCATGTTAATCCCATTATTGTATTGCATACTCTCTCTTTCTATACATATATGAGTGTCATTACATAACTATTTATAATACTAATGCCATTACTGGGAATAAACCGTTCCCTTCATTTACATACTCTTGGCTTCCTGTATCACTGGACAGTACGATAGGTCATGCGATGAATGAGTACGATAAATCGCAAAAAATATACAAAGTTGGTAAATCATGGGATGCTCTGAATGAACAATATCAATTGTTCATCCTATACATCTCATATGTCCTCTAGCAAACTGGGCATCAATGAAATCACAATACAGACGGTTGTAGTGAACAGGAGTTTGTCCACTAGAATAATATCGTACTCATCTCGTTTTTTCCATAGATCGATCGAGCACAGGTCATTATTGCCTGATCTAACTTTTACCTTACATACTCCGTCTTCCCACCAGTAGTGCAGCATTATACCAGATAGAGTATTGTAGCAGAACTCCGATCTGATCAATATCAATGAGCATATAACATCAGGCAGTTTTTGAGGAAGGAACATGAACGGTTGGCATGTGATTTTTGTTAAGTTAATGCGAAGGTCAGTGCGATGGTTTACCGGATGTGTGTGTGTGTGTGTGTATATATATATGTCGCAGCTACAGAAGGTGCATATGGTTGACGTGAGTTGTACTACCTGGAGCAAGTTAGTGTCAGTGTCCGTATCGGAACGATTCAAAATGAGAAGAATGCACTCCCTTCTTAAAAATAATACATATCGGGAGAGGACACATGCCATCCACGAAGGACATTAAATAGCCCTAGCTCTTTCTTTTCTCCTTTTACCCGTCCTCAAATAATCTGTGATATTTGCATACCACGGAAATACAGAGAAAGCCTTCCCTTAAACCTTAAGTAGAATAAGAACACTGAATATTAGTCATCTTATCTATATCTTTCATATATGGTCACTAATGTCAGAACCACATGAATTTTGCTTCCAAATATGCATTCCCTTGCAACAGTTTTAGACGTGATGTGATCGGTATCAAATCAAAGTCGGCATAATACATTTTATTAGTGGAGCAGGGAAAATTTTATCTTCATCATGTAAATTATAAAGACAAGCGAAAATAGGAAACCATAATCAGAACACATGAAGGAGAGAACTTAGCTTAAATAATTAGAAGGAAAAAGCTTAACACACAAACTTCTTGATTGCAAAGACTACAATAGGCTCAAAGTATTAGTTCGTTGTAATTATTATTTACCAAAAAAATTCGTTACAACAATTTTTTACTAGTCAAATGGTCAAATATTTTAACATAATATCAGAAAAGGAATAGCTATGGAATATCGAAGAATACCGAGGAAACAGCCTCAAGCTATCAGAGAAAAATAACTTGAGTGGAAATTAGAGTAGGCTCATCTGCATACAGTAAGTTGAAATATTTAGATAGTCTTACAAAAAACTTCCTGACCCGTAAAGAGATGAAATAATCGAACACTTTTCGGTGAATTATTTCCACATATATTCAAGCACTGAAACTGTGAGAACTTGATGAAGAAATTGTTTTCCAGTAGTTATTATGAAAAATGAAACCTAACAATTTATTCGATGAATTTGCTCTTCTCATGAGAAGTACGTGAAGTTAATGTTCTTTATAATTTTGCAGCCATGTCTGTGTAATCATCGTGAACTAACATGGAGGGTAAAAAGCTGCAGGTGATCACTACTAAAGTCGTGACTAAAAGTAGGAAATTTGCAGTAACCGTAAAACGAACAGTAATACATTCGATATGAATTTTTAGCAAGATCGATGATGCGAAAATTCCATCAGAATCAGGAAATTAGCTAATCTAATTCCCACAGATTTTAAATGTTCACAACCTGGTTGGGTGATGACGTTTACTGACCAAACACTTCATGGACATTTATCCAATCAGCTACACATCAGTTTCATTGGGCAATCTGAAAGTAAACCTATATTTCAAAAAATTTGTTACTTCTGTTTATGACGTACATTCAAGATATTGTCCCATATATTCATAATATCAAATATAGATACGTGTATTTATAATGTCAAAAATATAATTGAAACTTATCTTTCTCCCGAATTCCTTACATACACAATAAAGAAGTGATTCTGTAATATGGAGAAGTGAATCGTTTTTCCAATTGCAATTTACTTCTAAAGAAATTTCTTCCCTTTTCTTTAAAAAAAAAGGAAAAAAAAAAGAAAAAACATTAACGATGCAAAACTTTGTTAATAACTAAGTTAATATTAAACAATAAGATGGTACAATGAAAACAAAAGGAAGTTTTAACAACAGAGAAGTAAATGAAGTCATAAAAAGAGTTATCTTTTTCGTCGCCACTTCATTGCACGACGAGTTTTGCATCATTTGAATTGAATGAAATAAAACAAGACAGAAGGAGCAGTTTATAATCGATGAACTGACAGACAACTATCGAATCATCTCTTTAAAAATATTCGTGATTGAAATAACATGATGGAAAAATGGCAATACAAATATGCAAAGCATATACAACGATAAATGAACAGATGTATCTCTATAAACAACAAATAAGTAAATCTAAGAAAATGATCAACAGTGTGATGTAATGGGTAAAATCACAAGTGTTTAGTTCTTCAACGTGAAAATGTTAACTTTATCAACTCCAGCAATACTCAAATTTCCTCTAAATTAATGTAAATGATTACTAAGATAGAAATATTTTGTCGGACTTTTTCAATTTTTAATAAAGAAGTAATTAAGCAATTTATCAATTGCATTTAAATGAGAGAAGATTCGAAAAAATTTTCAAGCAATTTCCAGAATATTCCATGTTCCACCAATTCTGCTATTATTTTGTTGTCCGGCTTTCGTTATGAAAACATCATTAATTTTAAAATTTATATGTTCTGCTGCCGAAGCTGTGATTAGTTGATTTTTTAATATCTATCTGTTTCTCAACCTAAACTTTATAGCTGTTTGATGCAACGATCAACAGCCCCTTGGATTGTAAATCATTTCTACGTTACTAAGATTCAAATATCATTTTGAAAGAATAATGGAAAAGTGAATAATTGACTAAGAAAATTATCTAAGAGAGTAGCAAGGATAGGATGGTATCACGAAAGCAAAAGAATAGATTTTCAACTTTTTATTTTAGTTTTTGCTATTTGGGATTAAAAATATGAACAAAATGTGGGAAACGAATACATACATATTCAGTTATAAATTGATACAAGAAAGCAATTAGGGTAATGATATTTTTGAAGGGATTAGTAATCCTCTTTGATAGCTACTCTTTTTCCATGAGTAGTTTGTCCTTGCTGAACAATCGCTGTAATCAGCTTAACAAATTAGAAAACAAAACTCGGCAAAATTTAAATCACAACCATTTTATTTTTCAATAAAGTGCTTCGTTTTCACTTTTTGCCTCATTTATTTTCCAATTGTTTTCGAAATCCAGTTGATTATCCAAACGACAGAAACCATTATTTTCGATTTTCTGAAAATCCTCCTATAAGCATGTGCAGTTTCACTAAGATAGTTTAAGTTAAGTAAGGAAGATGAAAAATTTAAGAAAAGCACTTTAAAATATTCCGATATTTCTTGATTCAAAATTGTATCTTCTTTTCTCATTTATATGAAAACTTATTTGTTCAGGGATTTCTATGGATTTAAAATACAGGTGAACAAAATTTCAAAACTTGACATGAAAAGCCTATAAATACAATACTAAAATACACAGCAGTCAGTCTTCAAAGATGTCAGTATTTTTAAAAGTCCCCAAAACTAAAAGTCTGTGACAATATCATTCGAAAAAACAAATATCATCTATGAAGTTGGCGCAAAAAAGAATTAAGTAAGCATTCTTACCATGTCACACCGACTGTCGGAAAAGCGGAAAAAATATTTATTACACAGTAAGTGTTTAGAATAATACTAATAATTCATTACTACAAACTAATTCGTTATTCCTTTGTTATATCCCATTTTTTTGAAACAATGAATCCTTTATCTAAACCTCAAATAGTAAATGTACATCTGTCTTCACTGTAAATGTTAATCTGCTGCTAAGCCAACCCAGCCCACTTTCTACATCCTTAAAAGCCTTCTTTAATCTGATAACAACAAAGAAACGATCGGTGCAGTCTTCTCTTCCTCCTACTCACTCAACAGTACCACTTACTCCTTCGCTGTTCCAATTACTCCACTATATACTTGTCGGTCGATCTCGCTTGCAGATAAGAAGCAAAAGCTTCAGTTTAAGTCCTACAAACTTCACGTAAGTCAAGTGAACTTAACTAACCTAATTCGTCTACTCGGACCAGAAAGTTACTTCAAATTCACGACACCGATATCCAATCAAGCTTTCAGGAATCATATTCCTCATGCAACATATGCAAATATTCTTGCAACACAGAGCTACGCCGATTAAATCCATTAGCCAGATAATATTTGTGCTTAATTTACTGAAGTAACCTTGTTAATGCATTCTAAAATGGAATATTATCAGAGTAACGAGATCTCTCGATACAATCTTAGTTTTCGAGATATCACTTATGAAGAGTATCATGTTTGTTTATTATCAAATTATTGCCTACAGAGGAGAAGTGTCTCGAAATCATTCTGTCTGTACAGCAAGTCTACATAATTCTGTCACATTAACGCACCTAGTGGGGCGACACTAGCTCTAGTCACTCATCCAACTTAATCTCAGGTTTTCCCGTCCGTTGCTTTGAAATCTAATAGTTGCTTAAATTCTATGACGTCTTTTCCAAATTTAACTGAACTACCTCCATTTACTGAATTTGACAGGTTTTGCATTTTTAATTTTTTCATTGGTGTTTGAACAACAAAGCAAAGGAGCTGAATTCATTTTTTTCTTAATCATTTCGTGATTTTCAAATATTTTGTGCCTGACCTAGAATTACTTTCAATTCATCCTTGATCTGCAATCTGCAAATTGTTGATACTTGCTACAACTTCAACATATGATTCAAAGATCGTGTATCTAGTTTCAGAGTAGTTCTCTCTACGATAATTTTTATCGGACCATAATAGTGAATTATTCTTTTCTGTATCCACTCCGTGTGATTTCCAGCAAAACCACAACACTGCGTCCTTCTTTGAATATCATCTACCGTATGCATAAACTGTTGCAGATCATCATCACCTTTCAATAACATTCCTTAACGTTGATGACACTTCGAAAGAATTTAAACCTATTGCTACTGTAATTGTAATAATCATTTAATATTTAAACCATTGTCAACAATATAACAATCATATAAGCCACCTCATCATTAGTACTTCTACGAAGTTCATTTAGTTAAAATAATAATTTGTGAATTTGTTATCGTTGTAGTTTTTTGATTTTCTAACATACTTTTTAATTTGTATCCTTTACTCTTTTCGTCAATTTATTATTTATCAGCCAAGATTATCAAAAAAATAACAGAGCCATAAACTTTGAGAATAGTTATGTTTTAAAGAGAAGCTGCATTTGACACCTCCGGTCTGAGCATGTAAAAAGGTCGCCACAGTTTTTCAGATGAATATAGGTCAATTATTGCGTAGGGCAATGATGGAAAAGATCAACGTAGAATGCATAATATGACATTGCTGAAAAGCTGGCAACAAAACTCGCGATATGATGAATTTTCAGCTTCCAATTAGAAAGACCTGTGGTTGAGTAGAACAGATGTTTTTAACTGGTGGAAAATGATGAATTAAGTAATGTAATACAGATTACTATCATTTTGAAGTGAATTGTTTGAATAGAACAACACAAAATCTTCAATCAAAAACAAAAATTTCGAACTTAATTTAGGGATTTAAAAACCCCATTGAAGTAATGTAAACTTCTGTTTGTTATATAATTACTCACTGAGAAGTAAGTAAAGTAGCAAATAAAGAAATGAGTAAGCGAAACCCAGAGCTATTGATATGCCATAGGAAGCATATTCCTTCTTAAAAGAAAAAGTTGTATATAAAAGTTGTAAAAAAGTTGTATATAAGTTGTACTGAGATTAGAATTATTTCTATTCCACAAAATACATGTGTAAAAGAACCAAGACACTTTATCAACTGGTCGAGTAATAAATTATATTACAATAATTTGCGAATAATTATCTTAAGTATTTTCTAGTATTTGCAATATTGTTTCATTATTCGTTTTTTAGAAAAGATTCAAGATGCGATTTCACTTGATCAATTCTTCAATGAATGAAATTTTAATTATGTGAGTTATGTCTGCCGAAAACTTCAGCATCCATGAGATAATATTATCATAATATACTAAGCCCGAATTTCGTTCAAGCAAATCTTTCACATTTGCTTGAACGAAAATTGGAGTAAAATAGAAACATCTTGCTGATGAATCTTCCTCATTTCGACAAGACTTGAAAAGAATTTCATAATGTTCCTATGAATGGTCACTTATTCCTGAAATTTGTTAGCCAATTTGCGAATCATTATGTTCTTAGAATTAAATGGATTCATTTTCCAACACATTGTTCAATTTGACAAAATGAGATAGAACAAAAAAAATTGATCTGTCTAGCCTCACGAATAAATTATGTCGTTAAGTTACCAGTTGTCTGAATGGTAAGGGTAGCAATAAGCAATGTTCAAAGATTTCAGAATCAATAGCCTATTTGACATCTTGAAAACTTGAAGGATAATCTCAAAACTTTAAATCTTTATCCGTTAACTTATTAAAATGACACTTTTAATCTACCTTTTTATTCATTATCTTATTCAATAACAGTTAATTTGCGCAATATCAGATAACATTTGATAATCTTTATTGCTTTCTATGCAGTAGCTTAGTGATGATCCGACCTATTTACTCAACTCACTTTGATCAATGAATAGAAAAAAGACACTGAATTCTATACGATCTGGAATCATGGATTATTAGCACATGACCAAGTGTTCCTGCATCGTATAATGACTCATTTCAGAGTTCAAAGTGAGGGTGAGCTTTTGAAAGTGCTTTTATTTCTAAAATAAGTTATATTTAAAGGATATGTTGTGTGGTACTTACTTGCTCTGGATGACACTTCATATTTGATGAAGGAATTTTCACTTTGTTCGAGACTAAAACTGAGATGTAATGTTTGCAATAGGAAATAAAGTAATGCAAAATGAAAGAGTTGGAGAAAATGTTATGGAATTTTACTGCTGGTACTTGAAGAATTGATTACTAATAGATACAAAACCCATTTCCTTAGTTCTTACGAAAGAGACAATCACTTCAAAAAAGGAACTTTGTTCGCTAAAAGGTGAAAGAAGTTAAGTGGAAGCAATTTTTCAAATGTGAATACAGAGCTGAAATGAATTTAGATTTCGAAAACCGAATTGTAGTGATATGCACAAATTTTGAATATTTTCTAGCTGTAAATAAAAAGATTTGAAGTATGCAATACCTTACGACACTATAAGTAATAATCGTCGGTAGAGGGAAAAATGAATAAAACCCAGAGCAGAATCATAAATACCAAAAGAAAGTACCATTATTAATATCGAAAATCTCAAAAACCACAAAAAAAGTCGAAAACCGAAATGTAATATTTAGGTGTTGCATGTTTGCAACATTAACGATGTCAACGACATTCACTCAGCATACACGGTGCATTGAATTTCATTTTCAAAATTTATTTCTAATGACTATGAAAAATAATTTGACACCATCACTGATAAATGATGGTGAAGTGAGACATCACAGAGGTTAAAAACTGCTATTGTAAATAAACGCTTTATATTCCAATGTTGGCTACCATTACGCGTTGAACAGTTGAGATTTCAGTTATAAACTCTTCTTGACGACTTCCACAGTTCGATCATCCTATGAAACACAGTTATGGCTTCTGAATTTAAAGCACTTACAAAAGTTCTATTTTAAAAATAAACTACTTAATTTTTTTGGAAAAATAATGGAAATTGGAATATCTGCAATAGTGAGATCATTTATTTAATTGCTGTTCAGAATTCATGGAATATCTTACTGCGATGCGATCGTTCCAGTTAATGAAGATTTCTTTGAATGCAGGTGTTTCCTTGCCCTGAAGCACCTTTACAATTTGAGCTCCGACCGGACGTGGAAGTGTATCACCTTGCAGATATTTCTACAAAAGGATTTTACATGTTAGAAAAAATTGATTTTGGACTGCACGCATTTTTTTCTGTCTTATTAAATTCATGGAGGTGAAAGAGTGCAACGACCTGATTGCAATAAGATCTGTTCCGTCTGATCCGTCTGAGCGATTTTTAACTACATTTCATAACTTTGGACTCATTTATAGGACTAAGAAAAGTTGGCCATCATTTAAATACTCGAATATGCTTGCTCAATGCTCGGCATAACAGATATACATCACTTTATGATCAACCGCAGTTTTGAAAGTCATGGCTGATTATCAGACTGAGGACAAGAGAGATTACTACGATTAAGGATTCCAGCAATGGATAGGAGGACTGCCTTTAATAGAATCATCTATCTTTTCTCTTCTCCATCTACCATATTTTCTCTAGCTAATAATGTCACTCCTAATTGTTGGGTCCAAGAATAATTTTGGAAGTGATATTTCTAAATCTGATTTGGAGATTTTTAGAAGAGACGTGTTTCGTGAATTAATCATTCTTAGCATCAATGTAAATTGTAAGAATGGCTTAAACAGTTGTGAGCAAACATTGGCAATGTTATCAGCAAGCTTCTTTTCTTGCTCATTAGCGCCAGCTCCAATCCATACGTAAATGACTTTCATAGTATCCAAAATCATCACATCATCACCATCCAAATCCTAAAAAAGCATTTTAATTTCATTTTTTTCCTAAGTTAAAGACTGCGGTTTTAGCTACGAAATATACATTACGATAAATTGATACTTTCGAAAATCTTTCTATGTAAGGTATCAACTTTCATGCGCTTTGAAAAACTTAACTAAATAAGCACGATACAAAGATAATAAAAGAGAAAAAAATTGATGGTGATCTCTGTTACTATATTTTTAAAGCACTTATTTTTAAAAAAGAATTGAATTTAAAAGAACGGTTGACTTTTGATTTTAACTTTGAAAAATATTTTCTGAAAACTAATGACCAGTCTTTCTTTACTTTCCAGAGCCCATTGCAAAAACACTTTCCTGGATTGCATTAATTCACTATTTCTCAAAACTATTGCCTTCCTCTAATTTATTTTCCAAATATTTTATTAAATCTCTGTCTCATACTAATTGTATCGTCCTACTCGATTTACTTTTTGTGTGTAGTTGCAAATTTCTTCAATAGTTAGTCTGCCATTCTGATCACTGCACTGATATAACTTAGGAATAAATAGCGGTGTTTTCTTGGGACTTTCCCAGGAACTGGCCCATTGAGTAAATGCAACCGGCTCGGCACCTTCCAAAACTCGTACCACTTGCGTATTTTTTGATTTTCCCTGGAAAATATATGCGTTACAACTGGGAATATCCTGATATGGACTCAGTAAGCTTTAAAAATCACCGAATAGCAATAATCAAAAACTACAAACGATTTCCCAAAATCAACTTTAAGCAACAGATGAGATCGCTTTTGTAAAGTTATTTAGTATTTCTCATAAGTACGTGATATGCTTCCATATTACTTTTTTAAAAAGTAACTTTTGATTTTATTTAGTGTGCGGTTAATTTGCAGATCGAACCTGCAGTTCGATGTATTTGATGGCATATGCCATAGCCTTTTTTCGTTCATTTGGCGAGCACTTTTTCCCAATCCAAACGTATATCCCACCGTTGTAGGCATCCAATATGAAAGCGTCCTAAAAGTTTAAAGAATTGATTAGTAGCCAACTTAGGAAAAATCAGCTTTTCGAGACTTAGATGGGGAAGGATTTGGCCACGTTGTCGTTTCAACCAAATAAACTAATGAACTTATTGCGTAACTTAAGATGGCTGCAAGTTGATTAGAAAAAAGGACTGATAAACCTTTGACTCGAGTTGACTGTACTGAAAATTTCCCTTCGAAACCATCTTCACGCTCATGTTACCCATTTCGTCCGATACTCTGCAATGTCTTTTCACTACGAGCACCAAATTTGGTTACTTTGCCTGGTTTCAAATTTTGTCAATTTGATTAAGTTGAAAAAATATCTGTATGATATAGATACTTTGTTCAGTCGTATATGATACTTCTTCCGTGACAACCTGAATGTGGGTTTTTTAATGCTACAAAACGTCACAAATTCAATTTTGTTCATCAAATTCTTTATAAATTCGACTTTTTTTCCTTTTGAAATTTATTTATAGAATACGATTCCATAACCTCAAATGAAGAAGTTTCGAGCCCACTCTAATTAATTACAACCAGTAGTTTACATGATCCTGAATAATCAAGCCAAAAATATCAGCTGTATGAAAAACCTCCAGAGGGTTAATTGATTATTAGTTGTCTGCCAGTAATTTTCGTCTTCTCCACCTGCCTCTGTTGGCTTAACTTTTTCTTTACCACCCAAAATCCTCCAAAATTCATCGTTCGTATTCCAATCAGAATCTAAAAAACCACGTTTTATTTATAAAATTATCTGACAAGAAAGTTAACTGTCTTAGAAGTTAGATTTATTGCAAGATTTATTAAAATAAATGTCATTTTAGATTTTATCTGATCAAATATTGTTTGACGAAATTTTGACAAAAAAATTTAATGAAATGGTTTTATTTTTGTCAGAGTAATGAATATGCCTGCTTGTCTTAATGCATAAATTCCAAGATTTGTACTAAATTTGAAACACTTTTTTGATGGAATTCAATTATAAGGAATATGTTTGTTTCTTCTGTTATCTTTTTTCTTATTTTTGTCAAGTTTTCGCTTGATATAACTAATCATTTATCGATTTATTGTAAGTAACTAAAAAATTGGGAACAACAAAACTCACTTTAAATGTCATATAGTAGCAAAATTATACTCCTCATAATAGCAAAATATTTGAGGTGATCTTATAATGATTTCAGAATACTATAGTTAATCGTATTAGAGCTTTATATTATAATACTTCTTAACATTGACCATTTCCATTTGAGACTGTTAATTGATAATTGTCATGAAATCCCAAATCCTTACTCAGGTGAATCATGTTACTTTTCTGTAAAATTTGCTCATATCAAATTATTGGGCTGTGGTCGTACAGCATGCATCCTTACCAAGAACTATTATTTCTGGTTTTCCGATTCGCTCGCGATCTCGAATACTCCTTGCTTGATCCATCCCCTAAAATTTATTAAAATTCATCTTGAAAATAACAGATGTTGAAAATTTTGCAGGCTTTTTCCTACAAATAAATTTAATTCTCGGTTAGAAATCATGATATTTTTTCGAAATTTTACCTTTATTTTTTCAAGCCTTCCGCTTGCAGGTGGCATCCAAACATATATTTTCAGACCACAATCCAATATGAAAACATCTCCAAGATTCAGCGATTCTCCTTTGCATTCCACCTCAATTTTTTGATGATTAATGATAAGGAAATGATAAAAAAGCCAAATTAAACAAATGGCTAAATAAGGAATAGAAAAAAATAGGCAAATATAACAATGACATCATTAACAGTTTTTGCCAATTTTTTTTTTTTTTTTTGTAAACTGGTAAGCAAATGTTTTTTGACAAAAGCTGAAGGCGAATGAGTGTGAGCTATTATTAAGTGAAATATAATGGTAATTGTGAAGATTATGAGTTTTAAACACGACTATAATTCACCTCTTTGCATCGTACATTCCTCTTTCCTTTGCATTGGAACAGTTTTGGTCTCCAATTTTCATATTTGTCTGTGACATGTGTGAAGCCGGATGCTACTCCTCCTTTCAGATACCTGTAAAATTTTTAAGCTTCTTATGCAAACAATTTAAAAGTATCGAATAGCACTTACGACACAATTTTGGCATAGTAATTTATAAACATTAAGGGAGTTGGATATGTCTGTTTTAAATCTGTTTTGGGTCTGTTTTAAGCAGCATCTCAAATAAAATGATCAATTTAATAAACAAGTGCAAGTTAACTGTTTAGTTTTTTTCAACTTCATTAAATCTTCAAAAAAATCGATTTATATCTTTTTAATTAGAAAAATAGACTTTGAATCATCTGAAATATATAGGAAACATTTCGTGACTTAAAAAATAATTATTAACTAATTCAAAATAATTAAGTGGATACTTTTTCTGTTCATAAGTCATGCATTTTTTTTTTGCGTCATATATATTAGGATGTTGATATAAGTTTTACTCAAATGGATACATACATTTATCTACTCGTTTGGACATTAATGTCGATTTTCTAAAAATTCAACTAATTTCATTTTTGTAACTAATCTTGCTCACAAAATTCGTTGTTAGCTAGAAGTAGTATAGGCATTTCAGAAAAACCGAAATTCGCGTAAAATCCAAGTATAAACAAGACGTATTCGCATATTTTACTACTTTAACAGTACAGCTTTTAAAAAAAGATTGTTAAAAAAAGATTGTTTAAAAAAAGATCAACACGAAAGGTATTTTGTACGATATTTAAGCGGTCAGTTCTTGAGGAATTGGTTTAAATAAATTTTGGCGAACAATATTTCTTATATACAGATGTTATTTTGTTTACTAATAACTGATAGCGACTAAAATGAGACATACAGAATAACTAGGAAACCATTTGGGAAGAACCATATACCTACCGTATGCCATCCTTGAAGTAAGATAAGAACAGCGATGACTCATGTCCTTGAACCTGAAGTTGTATTAAAATGGAATTACTTTTTATAACACCGAATATTTCTGCCATTAGGAAAAGCAGAAAAATAATTGTTCTAGCTAGTCACAATTAATTAAATTTTTACTGTATGGTACATGAGCCGACTACATGAATGTTCTGAAGTTTGTTAAGTCATAGGTTGAAAAAAAGAAGTTTCAAATCGTAAGTAATGACATATCTCGCGATATTGAACAGGTAATCCATTAAGTGCATCATCAATTTCTACGGTTATAATTGCTGCTGCTCCTTGTTCATCCTGAAGGAATGAAGTTTTTTCTTGTTTAAACGAGCATAGTATATTTTCATTTGGATCGTGTTCGCTGGTTAAATGATAAATTTGCTAAAGAGAAGTGTAATATTCCATTTTCTTCAAATATATTGGAATAAATTGTTCATATTCAAGAGTTCCGATGCTACCAAATTATTCGCTCCACTGGGAATCTTCGTAATGTGGTATAAGAAGAGGCTATAATTTTCTAATCAGAAGAGAACAAGTAATCTTTATAAGACAGAAAAATGCGTGGGTGTTTACTAAGTGACATGCTTTATCACTAATCAATTAAGAAAAGAAAATTAAACCTGAGTTGTTTCATTTCCTAGCCAAAAATGAACATTCCATTCGCCTGGATTTTTTGTCTGAAACTCGAGCTTTCATTTACAAGTTCACTGATAAGTCATATCTGTTATTTTTCTAGCACAAGTTATTAATGTCCCATATCATTCTTTAGTAACAGGCAAATTGAGATTATTTATCTGGTAATACTTTATTTTTTCATATTTTTCATTAAAAAAAATATAACAGTTAAAAATGATTACGTAGAGAAGGACATATGAATCACCAACGTAGAAACTCCCGAACTGATCGCTTGACAACTTCTCCAGAGCGAAATTCTGGAAAAATTAGACTTCTTATCTGGATGCTTTCAATACAGAGATTTTAAAAATCAAATTAAACTGTCTTCTTAGAGAGCTTTAAGCTCGATTTCTACTCTTGTATAACAGATAAGCGTATTATCTAACAGTATATTATCTAACAGATTTTGTTCTTTTTGCTCATCTTGAAAAATAAAGCTGGAATTTTTTTTTAAAAAAAAGGTGAAAATTAAAATATGTAAAAAATTTAATTTTTTCCAGATAAGGAGGCAAACATTCATGGTTCACAATTGTAAGAAGCACCAATGACAACAAAAGAATTTAAGAAGGATAGCAATAAAAATAAAACCTTAATTCGCCAAATTTCCAACCCACGTTGCTTTCCAACATCCTTTAATTGCGTACCAGAGGTTGCCATGGTGTGAAAAATTGATCGCTACCATACAAAATTAAAAATGATTTGTATATCTTTCATATGCAGCCTAACCAATCTCTAATACGTATTTCAAAAATTTCCCACTCAATTTAGTCAAATACTTGATGTAGAACATTTGTTCATGACAACTGTTTCATTGTGTATTTCTTCGTACATCGACCATTATCTTTTATCAGTGTAATGAATATTATCATACTATTCTTCAATGAACTTACTAAACAACTCATTTTCATATCATGCATTCTCAATACTATAGAACAACTTGATCCATAAAGAAAAAGTCATTTTTATGAGCAAAATACTTTAACTTTTTTCATTTCAATAAGTAATTTTAAATAGATTTGAGATCGTTAAGATAATAAATATTAAAATTGTGAAATAATGTTAGGGATTGCAATGGACAAAAATGTTAAGTAAAAAATTACAAGCCTAATCACTTTGTGACACTTTCTCAAAAGTACATTTTATGAACTGTACTTCACAAACATTTGCAAATCTTTAATTGAAAAAGAATCAAGATGATTCATTGAACGATATTAGCAAACATCCTTTGAAAGGAATAACCAAAATTATGCACAGAAAAGAGAAAGGAATGCAAACAAACTTCAGTCTAAAACTATAAGCAATATCACTCTAACATTCAATATGTAAAAGTAATAAATCATTCAGTGAACAACAACGCTTCCAATAAAATGAACGAAATATTGCAAAATTATTTCGCATTAACTATTTCGCACTCTTAACGCAGTCGATGCTTATAGACAAAAGTATTTTTATCAAAAGTTAAGAAAATATCAGAAATATTTTGTAAATAATGTGAATTGGTTTATTAGAAGATTGCATAACAAAGGCAACTAGCGCAACCAAATTTATTATACTGGTTAAAATTTCATGTGTTCCATTTTGTAAATAAGTTATTAGTTATACCTTCAAACTTCACTCGTTTCATATATTTTCTGCGGAAACTCTGTATATTTCATGATTGCAATAAATTTTAAAGTCGATATGAAATTCAGTTCAGGTGTATACTTATTTCTGTCACATGGTATAAGATATCACATCATTTATAATAAATAATGATGACATAGAACGCATTTGACAGGCTGAAAATTTAAGGAAAAAATTAAGGTGATATCAGGCTAGACTGTTCTAAAGAAATTGTTTTGCTGAACAAAATTCATTATTATCCAACATATTCTTTGAATTATTCGTATACTTGTTTATATGTAAGGGCTTAATGCAATAACAATTTACTAGATTAAGAATACTAGAAATAACATGAGAATCATGGTGACAGGCTGAAAATTTAAGGAAAAAATTAAGGTGATAATTTGGGTTAGAATGAAGTAGATTAAAATTATTAATTTTTTAGTTTGAATCAGTCAGTTTTTTACAAAACTTCTTGATAGTTCAATCACTGAGCTTAGTGTTCAGCAAAAATTAATATAATAAGCAAGAGATTAGTAAGCGAAATGTTCTAGATCTCGAAAATATAGAGCAGTATTGATGTTGCCAAAAATTAAGAAGAAAGAACGTTCCCATAATATTCATCAATATTGAAAAGTGACAAAGTCATAAGCAGGTCACCACATTATGAACATGTACCACATTCCTTCCCTTCTTCTAGCAAAACATTCATCAAATTTTTGTTTTTTTGCATTTATTCTGCTCGTTTTTCAAATACTTATATGCTTGTTGATAGAATTAAATGAGATATCATCAAACAAAACTGTCTGATGAGTTTCTTCCAAACTTTCTCGTCCTTTGCTCTTATTGGATATCCATAACCTTTTCTATATTTGTGTCTTAGCAAATGTGTCAAGTGACCTTGCTCTTTGACGAAGACCATATCGCACTGTAAAACATTCTTCAAGCTCATATTTCTTTTTACTGATAACTAATCCTTGATAACTATCAATGGTAAGTCAGCCAGTCATCATAAGCTATGAATCATTCAAATGATGCGGACAATTTCAATGCTTCGTTCAATACAAGGAAGTATCACACAGTAAACATCTAATCCTTCACTTTCTCATAGAAAACAATTCTTGGTGATAAACAGATAAAAGTCTATTGTCATAGAGTTTGTCACCAAAATTGACAATCTTTTTTTCACGTTACTAATAACATCAGTTTGAATAATTTCTAATATTGAAGATGATTTCAGCTTATCAACAGAAAATGAGTTGGAGTGAATTCGAATCAACAAATTTGAAACAGACGTGAACGACCCTTATATTGCTGTTCAATTCACTACTAATTTACATTCACACTCTCTGTTTGGTGATCTAAGTTCATCTATTTATCAACAAAGAATAAGTTATGCTTATTAATTGGTCTTTGAAAAGAAAAATGACATGTTTCAGCAAGAAAACTGCCTTTCAAAATGAGGAATTGCAGAAAGAAATTTCTCTCTTACCGACTACTCCAAGTTTTTCATAAAATTTATCTCCTATCTCTTTCAGCTTCTTCCTTTCTGCCGATTTCTCTTTTCCCCCAGTCAAGTTTAAGGTGCTATGTATTGGTAAAAAGAATTGTTTCTCACAAAGATTAGAACCATCTGCTACCGCTCACTATTAGTCCTATCATTTTACGAACGCTGTTTGCACTAACAGAAAAATTTCTCCGCAAATGTTAGGGAATAAACTTGCATATCAGTGCAGCCATTGCTGATATGATGGCCAACTGTGTTAGCTATGAAATGAATCGCTGTAAGAAGTCAGAACTTTCTCTCTTCTTCAGACATAATCAGCTTGTAACATGTGATGATGCAACAAAACACCAACAATTCAATATTATTAAACTGAAAAAAAAAAAAAAAAATTATGAAACTATGCTGTTGAACACTGAAATTGCATATCAAATTCGAGTAGCGTTCCTTCATTCTCTAGCTTCATTCCAAAAATATCTCCAGAGCAGCTTCATTTTCTTCAACAGAAATGCTGTCTATCAATATGCTTCATCAAAATCACATGAAGAATCGAAATTTCATTCAAATTTAACAAGCTGATAGAAATGTCTTTTTACAAGAAAATCTGGCAACATAGATGAAATTTGAGAAAAATATTCCCGATAGAAAGAGAAAGATAAGTGAAGATAACTGAAGCATTTGTATCTCAAGTTAAGAAGGTATTGCATGACTGATCAAAACAAATGTGAACCCAGTGATGTTCAGTGAGCGACTGGGTGAAATCCGTTAAGTAGTAATAATAAGATCGTGTGTGATAATCAAATTAGCTAATCTTAATTTTAAAATGAAGCGGGATATCTTTAACATTATATGGTCAACAGCCACAGTCTTCTCTGATTCACATTTGTCAATTTGAAGAAATTGGCAAATTAGGAATGAGGAAAAAAACGAGTCACTAATGACTCACATAATCATGAATATATCTTTTCATATCAATTACGTGGCGAATAATAGATATTAATAATTTGAAAATTTTATTTAATCATATCTTTTGAAGCTTTCCTTTCCATCCTGGTATTTCTCAGATAGCCTTTGCACTCCGGTTCTTGTATATTGAGGTACGTTGAAATATGAGCTGTCATTTTAGTAGATATACTGGATCTGCACTTGTACAGAAATGATAATATGCTTGCTTAAAGCTGCTGAATTCATAACAAAAATTTGAATACTTTTTGTGGAGACGTACTAAATAACCGGTTAACATTTATTGGTAAGGATGATTAAAAAATGTATGGAATCTAACGAGATCCATTATAATATTTCATCAACAACAATCTTTAATACTGGAAGAAATTTCTCGCAGTCTTCCTGAGATATGCCAGAGATTCGGGAAAATGGTGGAAAAATGTCGAAACTGGATTAGATGGGTGGCAAAATGAGAATCAAACCTACAGCCAATTGTCCATCCACCAAATTGAAGAGTCAAAAGAAATATTAGCTGGAAAGCCTTGTCAATTCGAACTACCCACATCCTTTCTGCCTCTCACTCTTGATCACTGAATTTGCTTCACTCTCTCTTGCTATCAAACAAATCGGTTCTTCTCAGAATATCTAAATGCCTGCAGCAATATTGCATCACAATCTCCTCAGTCCCTCCCGTTCCTTCACTTCTCTCACCACCTCCCCTTTCTGCATGTTGTTTTTATGAGTAGCGATATGTTCGATTGTCCTGGTCTGTTATTAATCGGTATTCACCCAAGTCCGTTTATTCCACTCCTCCAGCCGTCTTACATTGCATTCTTCTGTAGGGATTTCTTTTCATTAGTATGTCAACCTTCCACTCATAGCAGTACAACTATGAGCTAAATTGATAAAAGATAGGAATATGATAAAAGAACACGACAGCATGTGACACACATCTATAAAATCCTATCCAGTTGAAAACAATCACATGTAGATATTTTGATATTCGTCTGTTGAATCACCATCTGTATTAATGGAAGTGCGCACGATAGAACTCCGAATAAAGAAAAATTAATATTCTAAGCCAAAATTAGAAGAAAATCGATTTCCCATTTTCTTTATTCGTTTACAATTCACAGACGTTACTTTGAAATATGTTATTAGGTTAAAAATTGGTTCCTTTTTATTCCACAAACGAATAATTGGGATTTGCAGCTGATAACTTGAGTACTTGATATTTGCTGCAGCTTTGATTAGCATTCATCATTTCACGATAGGTTATTGTAGAATGAAACAATGATTGACTTTTATGCTGAATTACCTGAAAGATTGTTCTTCAAAAATATTTTTGATATTTTTTACACTATGATGGTTTTTAGCTTTTAGGATATTTAAGAAGATTTGTAGTTGTTCGATTATAGCATTTGTGGATGAATCGACGTTTTCCTGAATGTACAGTCTTCCTGGTTCTTCTTTTCTTTTCGACAGTCTATGGTACTCTTTCTAAATCAGATCGGAAAGAAAAGTGGAAAAACTTTCAAGGAACAGAAGAAAAACGAAAGGGGGGAAATAACAGTCTAAGGCAATCAAAAGTAACCTTTCTTGCCTA